GGGAGGCCATACTGATGTGGCGCTACTAACTGTGCGTASGGTAGAGAGTGGAGTGTGAGGTTCTGAAAGTGGCGAGACACTGGAACAAACTCTGTAACGATTTTTGGTTACTTGGCTCATCATCAGTGTGTATTCCAATTGTTATCCTCGCAGGTTCYTCCTTGTGATTGGTTGTTGGGAGTATCGTCAGAGAGAGAGAMACACAGTGTGTCCTCTCCCCATCTGTGCATSGCTATGCTTCCGCTATCTACTCTGATCTGTGTGCAGTTTGGACTCTGTCTCCTCTCCCCCTTCTCTTATGCATGTATGGGCGTGTATGAGACTGGCARTGKGTGAGTGGCGGTAAAAATCGTCARACAACCAAGTTCATAACACCTTTTCCCTTAAATTCCCTATCAAACAGATATTGTCGTTCTATGTACGGACATATGTTTTTCATGTTGAATCATGCATACTTTGAAAATACAAAGACGCTCAAATTCCTAGATGTGAATGAAGCGCAATAGTCACACATTCAGTCAAGTACATCGTATGACTAGTATGATAGGAACAAATATGTCGTTATAGGAGTCCGTAAGACATGCAGCTTGCTTGTGAGACTTGAAGTCSTGCATGTTATGATACGGGTCTTAATGCTTTTCCATAACTTAATATGGGTGCTCGTGTGGTACTTAGYTTGTAGGCGCAAGCACTTCAACGTRGTGGAGATGGCAGCGGATGCTTTTCGAGGAGCAGGTGCCGGTACCCTTCTAGATCTCTTCATTGCATTTGGAATTGCGGYGAAAGACTTTGCAAAAGCAGTCTGCACACACAAGAAGCACTTCAACAAGTTTGAATCTGATATCAAGAAGACAGAAGAGTATTTAAGAAAAGTCAAGGAGATGGAGCTCTCTGTCAAAGACAGATCTCTGTCGAAGACAGAGACGAATTATTTGTAAAAGTGCACAATCTGAAACGAGGATTAGAAAGGATTAGAGCAGATTGTGAATGGCGTGGAAGGTTGTCTGCGCCATTGGTGTACTTGAAGCGCGGGTGTGCAGAGAAAAAAATCGCAGAGCTACAGGACAAGCTTGAAGGGTTGAAAAAGGAGCTGAAGTGGGTGGTTCTCATTCAAACTGGTGTGCATTCAAAAAACATTGTTGTAGGGCTGAAGGGTATGCATGGTGGCTCAGAGTCCAAGATCARTGYTTGTGAGGTGGCAACTACAACCAAGTGGGAATTCTCAACAATTACAACGAGAACACAAGTGTTTGGTGTGGAGTCTGCCTTGAGAAGGATACAYAGRACTATACTTTCTCAGGAAGAACAAAATACTTCTTCCARAACAAATTCGAATTCATATTGTAATTGGCCAGAAGTCATCTGCCTGCATGGGATGGGCGGTGTTGGAAAAACAACACTTGCGAAGCATCTTCATGACAGTGACGAGATGAAAATAGAATTTTCTGATGGAATTATGTTCATTCACTGCGGGCAGGAGAGAAAGGGTAATGACTTGATTACACAAGCATTAGAGAAATGGGAAGAACATGTCACGGGATGTGCTGGGCACCGAGGTTTGCCTCGCCTGCCATTGACAGAGGATAGAGAACCATGTTTAAAAGCCAAGATGAAAGGAAAAAGATTTCTGATCGTGATTGACGACGTCTGGGATCCAGAGCAAATCAAGTGGGTACAGAATGTGGCTGATGGAAGTTGTACTGTTGTCGTGACAACAAGGAACAGAGATGTGGTAACCATCCCAACAACACAGACCATTCTTGTGGAACCATTGAGAGACGATGACGCCTATGAAATGTTCTGTCATTGTGTTTTTGGAAATAAATGTCCTCCTCCTACTCTTGAAGAGCTTGCACAAATGTGTTTTTGGAAATAAATGTCCTCCTCCTACTCTTGAAGAGCTTGCACAAAAAGTATGTACAAACCTTTCTGTTAGACGGGATGACTACAACTTCTGGGAGGTATGGCTTAACTTTTTAGAGAGACCAAAACTGGATAGAGAAATTCAACCTGGGTGCAATACAGATTATGAAGCGGTGTTAGAGGTCATGCAAAGGTCGATTGATGACCTCTCCTCAAAGAACAGGCCTCACCTCTTGGACATGTTCCTTGATTTGGTCGGGTACCCTGAGGATCATTTAGTAGATCGCAATATGATGGAGATTCTGTGGTCGGTTTACCCACAGGTTGGTTCCCTGCAGGCCGCTAAAGATTGCATGAGCACCCTGATCAGACTATCCCTGGTAAAGGAACACAGTGGGAGAAAAAAACAACGCCAAGTGATATTGCATGATATAGTCAGGCATGCGGCAATCCGTATGATCAACTCAAGGACACCACCTCCAACAGTGTGGGATATGGAAGAGGGCAACGGAGTTGGCAGGAGCGGGGATGCAAACTACAGGAACCGGCTGTTTGCGGTTAATTGTGAGRCTCTGGTTGATGTGAGTCATCACAATAAGAACATACGGAAGTTGATGTGGTTTGTTGATCTTAGGCAACTTTCATCCTCTTCTATCAAGAATATTGTATCCACTCTTACCTTACCCAACTTGGTGARCTGTCATGTGTTCTTCAATGAGTTGATCGACCATCGTGCAAATGTGCACAATTTTTTGAATGAAAWCTTGAAGAGTGGGAAGTTAAAGATTATCGTGTTGGAGAATTTGCCAAGTCCTTTATGGGTTTCAGGTACCACCCRCTTTTCTTCGCTTAAAAATCTTCAAGCATTGTGGTTCACATTCAGTGGATGTCATGTAGAAACTGTACCTACATCGATCATGATTGYCGGGCTTCACCAGCTGCAGGTAGTGCATCTTCAAGCGACAACTTTGTGGGCTCCTGAGAGGCTTACTCTTGACCTTAGTAGTTTTCAGCAGCTATTACAGCTCAGAGTCCTGCAACTAACCAATTTGAGATTAGACATTTGCCATTTGCAGACACATACGCCAGCAAAAGAGGATGAAGTAAGTCCTACTTCTGTGCTGCTCCAACAGAACAAAAACATGATGTCGAATATCTCAAAGATTAGGGATTCTGAAACACTGGGAACTCCGCTTGCCAAACGCCAGAAAACAAACTGGGAGCACAGTATGTCACTTGCTTGGTTGTTGATCATTGCWCATTTGCCTCATCTAGAAGTCCTTCGACTTGACAGTTGGCCAATGATATCGAAGCTGCCTGTGAGTTTTGAGAAGTGGRAAAATCTCAACTCTTCCAAGTTGCATTCTTCCATGCTGGGCAGTCCGACAAAGAAACTGACTATTCTTGATTTAGCTGGATGTACGGAAGTTACTCAACTACCAGAAGAGATTGGRAACCTGAGAAACTTAAGGTGTTTATGTTTACATGCGTGCACTATCCTGAAGTCTCTTCCTGATTCCGTTCAAGAGCTCACGAATCTGACGGTTCTGGATTTAAGTAAGTGTTATATGTTGTCGGGTCTTCCTCATTCCACTGGAGGAATGACATGTCTGATATCTTTGGATTTATCTAAGTGTTATAGGTTGCTGTCTCTCCCTTGTTCTATTGGCGGAATGACGAGTCTGACATCTTTGGACTTGAATCATTGTGAAAGCTTGGAGGTTCTTCCTCAGTCTATCAAAAAACTGACTAACCTGACATCCTTGAACTTGGAAGAGTGTCTTAGCTTGAAGGCTCTACCTGATTTCATGCAAACACTGACAAACCTGACATCCTTGCAGGTATCCGGGTGCGAGGACTTGTTGTCCCTTCCAGATTTMTCTGAAGGACAGATAGATTGGAGATTTTTGGACTTGTCTTTCTGTTGCAAATTGRAGTCTRTTCCAGACTCCATTGCAAAATTGACCAATCTGACAAATTTGGATTTATCAGTATGTTCCGACTTGGAGTCTCTTCCTGACTCCATTGGAGAATTGACCAATCTGACAAATCTGGATTTGGGGCTATGTGAGAGTTTGAAGTTTCTTCCTGACTCCATTCAGAACTTGACAAAAGTGACAACTTTGAATTTGGGGCATTGTACAAGCTTGCAGTCTCTACCAAATAGCATCAACAAACTGGTAAATATTTGTGATCTGCATTTGACTACAAYGAAGGGAATGTATCTATTTCTTCCCCTTGCAAGATTAACGCACGTCACAAATCTTCTGATATACCAGCCAGGTTTTGAAAAMTTGTCTGAGCATATTCCGACGGATAAAGGGTGGCCCTGTGGTGATCTGCCAGAGGGCATTGGGAATCTCACAAATCTGCGATCGTTRYATCTCCTCTCTGGCTTTCTTCCGACACRTTTATACTGGCAGATTGACTTTCTTACAAACTTGACWGCTCTCACATTGTCTTGTCATCGTTACACTCCTTCAATGGACTATGATAATGATTTCAGGGCCAAGATAAGGCTTAACCTGTGTGCAGGTCATGGAGATACCGAGACAGATTCTGGAACAGAAAATGTTATAATTGAATCTGGTTCGTTCAAGCCACGACATTKGGGGAGACACCTGCCATCCGAGGTTGGAAACTTGAGAAATCTGAGGCAGTTGACTCTTCATGGTTTTTGTCTGCGAAAGTTATCAGAGTTTAATAGTGTTGTAAYGCTGACGAAACTGACAAAACTAACGATGATGAGGAGTCATCTGACTCATTKGCCAGGTTCTATCAGCGTGTTGCAAAGGTTGGTTGAACTGGATCTATCCTGCTCCGAGTACCTCTCTGAACTCCCCAGGGAAATTTGTGAGCTGCACAACTTGAAGCGTCTTGATGTTTATGAATGCCCCCACCTCATCCCTCTGCCTCAGATCATGCTGCAAATGACACAGATCAAAGGAGTTGTTGGATAGTATGATTCTGAGGATGAAGATCTCCTTCCCCAAAGGCTCAGGCGGTGTGGGTCAGCTCCAAAGGCCGAAGGTCCGTTTCTCCTTGGGGAAAACCAAACAAAGGTGGATTTAAAACAGAATTAATTTCTTCTAGCCTCATTTCCTCAACAGAGCATGTCTGATTGGAGCAGGTTTCCACTTTGGATTTGGGGCTCCAACATCTGTGCTTGCTATGAGCACTGAACAACTGAGCTCTCCTTATGGTTCGTACTTTCCTAGTGAGGTCAGAAAATGGAATGGGACTGCCTCCTCCTCTTCCTCCATATCCTCCTCTTCCTTCTCTTCCTCCTCTTCCTCCTCTTCCTCCTCCTCCTCCTCTTCCTCCTCCTCCTCCTCCTCCTCCTCCTCCTCCTCCTCCTCCTCCTCTCGAGTGGGGAATCCAACTTTCGATGTGTCTGGCCCCCTTTTCCATAATACTGTCACGTGACTGATACATGCGAGCACTTCCTGAACTTCTAGCTTCGCTGAGGAACTAATGTTCAGAATTGGAGATTTGTGGAAGGGTTTCGGCTTGCGTGGCTGGCAGTGATGTGGCATCTTTCAGCTAAAGTTTTTAACTTTTCTGTAAACAGTTGTTTTTTCTGCTTTCTTTCTTATGCACAGCCCCTGGGACTCGTTTTGCTCTATTATTCAGATGCGGCAACTTGAAGGATGATTGTGGTTTGACAAGATAAACGATTTAATTATCATACTGTCAGTATGATAAGTACTATACACCTGGAGGATCTGTTATTAAGAGAAAAGGAAAAGGATGACATGACGACTTGAAGTTGATTCAACAGGGTATTATCATTATCCTTCTAGTTTAGCTGTGTTTTTTACGCTTGCATTTAGTTATTTTCCTGCTCTCTTCCCAGATAAGTCGAAATGACTATAGGTTAGTAAATCATCCTTCTTCTTTCTTTTTCCAGAAAAATACTTTCCTCTTGTGAATCATCCTTCTTTTTTTTTCCAGAAAAATACTTTCTTCTTCTCATGTGGGGGAAAGCTGTATGTAWTTTTTGCTACCCTATCTCAAACATCTCTTACGCTAGCTACCTACTCTTTCACACATCTCAGTGAGCTACATACTATCCCAACGCAATCCACCACTACAACCTAGCTTTAAGAGCCAACACATCTGCTTAAATTCACAAACTAAACCAGGTCCTAGGTTATCCTAAGGTTATGGGTCTACACCTACCTAACTCTGCTCTGTGTGGGGGAGCAGCACCCAAGCTCCTAACACCTGGCATCGTGCTGGAAAGCCGGTACCTACTTTCACAACGTGCCAAGAGGGACARGCCGACTKTCTCAGTCGGTGAACCCGCAGTATGCCACACAAGGCCGTGGGAAGCCGAATCCGTGCGGAATCGAACCCACAACCTCCTGTGTACCACTCAACCAACTGAGCTAGGCCGCTTGGCCTGAATCATCCTTCTTTTGTTTTTCAGRCTGCATCAATTATCCATCTAACGGTTTTCCTTCCTAGTGAGGTCAGAAGATGGAATGGGGCTGAGAAAAGACAAATTGAATGGTGTAAGRACCTGCCAAACACGGACTGCGACACGCAGCTGATTTCTGAGTTTTGCCAATGGAATGTATGCCTTGCTGAGATTCCCGTTTGTCCCTGAGTTTTCTAAGTCTGTGTGTGTGCATGCTTGYTGTCTGCATGCCCGTCGGAGTGCTTCTCGGCTTGAGGGTGTGTGTGACCCGCAAGGGTACTTGTTCGTTCGGGAGGCCCGATGGGCCGGTACTTACCTGTGGCCGTGACTTTGAGGGTTGCAGCGGGGAAAACACTCAAGTGGCAGGAGTAGGCCCGCGACACTCAGAGCAGCGGGGGGGGGAGCAGTCAAGCAGCAGGCAGGCTGGTACCACACCAAGTAGCAGTCGATGTGTCGAGTACTCGAGGGCGAGCAGAAGAAGACAAAAGTTGGCATTTTTAGAGGCCCAGTAGTTGTAGGCTAGGTCTAGGCGGGTACCAGTCCAAGTAGTCTGAGTCTAGGGCCTGTACAAGCAATATCAGAGTCTGCAATGATGCTTCCCTCCAAGAGGGAGGAGGTACCGCACGGCCTGGAAGTCACCGCCCAAGAGGCAAGTAGGCCCCTATATCTCCAGGAGGAGCGAGGTGCTCCTCCTCATCCTACGGTGTGCAAGTTGGCAACTTACTGGTTGGAGCGCTGGCGGGAGCGGCACGGGAGTGAGCACCGCTGCTGGGGGAAGGAGGGCCCAGCTCCCTCCACCATGGCTATGGTGGAGGAGCTCGGGCTGGAGGAGGAGGAAGACGAGGACTAGGACTTGAGAGCGCCAGAGGTACTTACCTGGCTATAATGGTGGATGCCATCTTCATCACCTTGGTGGGCGCTGCATCTGGAAGGCCAYATTGGGGTAGAGCTACATCAAGAAGCTTCGAGGGAGAGTCAGGCATGGCGGCCTGAGCAGGAGCAGCCATAGCTGYTTTAAGTTGTCTTTTGCACAGCAGGCCAAGGCCCTAGTAGTCCGCCATAGCCTCGGCCTTCAGGAAGAGGAAGGAGGAGGCAGCCATGGCTATGGTGGACCTCATGCTATGCCATGCAGTCAAAGAGGGATTTGGGAACTGATTCTGGTTCAGCCACTCAACATTATTATTACAAGGGGACCCGCCGCGGCGGCGCCGCGGCAAGGAACGGGGGGAGGGACCGAAGAGGAGAGGAAGGAAAAGTGGAAGAGGAGGAAGGGGGGGGCGCAGCGAGATCGAGCAGACACAGTGGAATGAGGGTGATGGAGATGTTTTGTGTCAAAGACGAGATTCATGTACACTCAAAAGAAAGAGTTGCGAAATGTGAAGTCCGGATCGGCGTGTTTCCAAAGCGGAGGGTGAATTTTCCCTCGACGACAGCAGAGTGTTGTCCATGTTTGTTCGTGTGGCCATTTTTCGGCGTGGCAATGTGTGCACAATATTCTGTTTCCAAGTGTGATCATGTCAATTGGTATATCGCGTGCAGTAAGCGATGTGGTGTGTTGTCTGCCAGCTTGGGCGAAGACCAGTCCGAAACTACAAGAAAAAACACTAAACTGCGCTTTCGACGGCCTACGGGTTCGATAATTGGCAAAAACAGGAGGTGGCCATCCTGTTTTTTGTTTTGTTCTGTTTTGTTGTTGTTGTTGTTGTTGTTGTTGTTGTTGTTGTTGTTGTTGTTGTTTTTTCGCCCCTGCTTATGCCACGGCCGCGCTGTCTAGGCCACACCCATGGCTGGGTCATGGCCGAGATGTCTTGGCCATGCCCATGGCTGGGCCACGGCCGAGATGTCTTAGACTAGGCCATGGCTGGGTTGGAACGAAGTCTGAAAGGGGAGGGCAGGGAACCRAGGAAAAAGATCGAACAGCACATTGTTATGAACATGATTGTCTGTTGAAATTTTGTCAACACTCACTCACAGGAACTCCCGTACACGCCCATACATGCACAGAAGGAAGGGGAGAGGTAGTGGAGTATCACACCGCCCAACAGAAAGAAACGCAGCGGAAGACTCAGAGGAGCGAAGTGACAGAACACACAAACTGTGAATTCTCTCCACACAGGTCCCAACAAATTCAAACAATCATTCATAGAAGACAACCGAGTGATCACAGCCAGAAATCAATGAAGAGATGACAACTCAAACACATTAYTACAACTGTTTATTAAACTCAGAACATCGTTTTCACTGAATAACCTCAGAACCCTGTTGCGCTACCCTCAGAGGGGTAGCGCCTCAACCACACCACCCGGAACAGCTAAAAATAGCACCGAAACCCCARGTAACACCGAGCGCCACCCTGACATCCAACTCAGTGGCCTGCGCCAAAGTGAAACAGGCTCCCAGAGCCAATCGCCACCCAGATGGTGAAGAAGAAGCTCAGCGCCAACAGTCCCTGATGAAGAGGAAGTCCAGACGATGATATCTCTGAGAAGATGCAGCTATGGCTGCATCGCCACTGGGACCCTACTCCTAAGGAGGGTCAGCCGTGCACCACGTGCTCCAACGCATCAGACCTCTGATAGCCCAGACCGCTTTGACTCTCAGAGAGTCAGAGCGGACAGCGTTGACCCCAGTCTGGTCAGCGCTCYGAGGGTCTGGCTATGTCCGCCGTCWCCACCAYGGGAATCAGCAACCACGACCTGATACCGTGTGCGCAGCAACTTCCACCACGAAGTGTCAACTGCCAAAAGCCCAGGACCGATGTCCCCATCCTATCTATACTCTACTACTAGCCTAGACCGACCTAGACCGGACTGACTGACCGACCGGTACCGTTTCTGTTTYGGCCTCTAGGGCCTCTCCCTACACGGCCATAGGCTATAGGACCGTCTATCAGCATAGGCCCATAGGGCCTGTCTTTCCTAGGGGTAGCCCGGGTCTGCTATTCACAGTTAGGGTAGCTGTAGGAAAATCGAGTTAGTACTGAGCCCGTATTTCTATTTTACAGATATGTCCCTCACGAATTTTCCATACAGGCMGGTCTCTCGGTTAGTCCTCAGCCAAACAAAATTACGAATCTGTCCCTAACCATAGTTCAGCCTCGTCAGAGTGAGGCTACAGGCAACCTGGAACCAGCAAGTCATTGCAACATTCCGGTGAGTTAGGGCCGCATACGGGGGGAGGTCGCGACCGTAGTGTCAGTAGYGAAGCGGCCGTCACTGCCCCGTCAGGGCAGAAACTATGTTTTTCCCTTTGGACCCCGGTGGTGGCCGGCGCGTGCAGACAGGACCTACACAGTTGCATTTGCTGAATACATCGGCCCTTGGAGCATGGCAAGATACACGAAGTTGCAAAAAAAAAAAAAAGAAGTTGCCAAACGAATCTATCTAGATACAGCTCCGGCCGTTTTTACCTAACTAGAGTTGTGACAGCGTGAAGGATGCATATCACGCCGCAGATTCCCGGATTTGACGGCAGGATAGTCCTTGTGCGAGGTTCCCTGCTCCCAGCAAGTGAAAGTTTTCAGAAAACAAACAAAAAAAAACGTTCTTCAACTACGGCCAACTCCGAAGACTTCATCCGTGCTATCTAGCCGCTGGAGGATGGACGATCTACCGTTGAAGATGCTGCCACCTCTGAGGGTTCCACTTTTTTTTTTAATTTTTTTTTCACTACATGTTTTTGGTCTCCTGGGCCACTAGCAAAGAGGATAGGATCCAATGCCTGAACCTGGATGTGTTTTATGCAGAGATGGAGAAAAGCAGTTCAATCTCGATTTCCTGCACCTCTGTACAAACACGTCCAGATGCAGGCATTCTATCCGATACTTTTGGCTAGTGGGGCCACGCCCCTGTGCATGTGGTAACTGCCAACTGGTGGATCAAGGCACAATGGTGGATTGGGGGAGAGGTCCCACTTGCAAATGCAGGTGTTCAATCTTGATTTTCTGCACCTTTCCTACAAAGACCTCCAGACGCAAGCATTCAATCCAATCCCCTTTGCGAGTGGGACCTGTCCTTCGGTAACTGAATTCTAGAACATGGCATGATACTAAAGAGTGTCAGAAAAAAAAAAAAAAAAACCTTCAAMAAMAARRAAAAAAAAAMA